TAGAAAAAAGTATAAAAAAGAAACCAAAGCTGAAAAATTTTTTCAAGAGAAGACTCAAGTGGAGCTTTTTGAAAGCCAAGTTTATTATCATTGCGATTGAAGTCGACAAGATTCAAGAAAAGCAAAGCTTTTTTGGCAATGCGAATGAGGTCAGCAATAAAAAAAAATGCTAAAATTTTGTGATATATTTGTATTCCAGAACTTTTAAGCTCTTTTACTTTTACCCTTATTATCTTTTCTCCTGCGTTTTATCCACAAACGCAGGAAAAAGAAAAGGGTAGGTGGGAATGACTGTTTGGCTTTGGCGTCTTTTGAAAACATTTTACCGAGTTTATCTTTCTCTCTTTAATCCAGTGACTTTGATAAATTATTATTTGAAAACTTCGTCGTGAAAACAAGTTTTTTTGCTCTCTTTTATTCGTCAGTAAGGACAATCAACAGTTTCAAATTCCATAATCACTTTTTTAACCTGGCTTCAAGTCTCTTAACTCAACAAGTGTAACCTGACAATCAAGGAATCGACAACCTTTCTTTTTTTTAATTTGTTCGCGGTTTATTGCAGTTAAGTGTGTTAAAAGGGCAAGTGAAGAATCTACAAAAGTTTCATATAAACCTGAGCTAAAAAAAGGTTAAAAGAAAAAAAAGTAAAACCTGTTAATTTCTGCAGTTATTTATATAAAAATTAAAGAGAAAAAAAATTTAAATCCTCTGTTGAGGAGTTGATAAGGTCTTGACATGATGATCAGAATATGGTCTCTTCCTATTTTTTCGACAATTAGTTTATCGTGACATCGATGTATTTAACTGGCGACTTTACGTTCATTTTAATGAATAAATTTACTGCAACTGCTTTTTTTTTCCCTGCTTTTCAGCAAAATTAATTTACACCCACAATGGCTTTTCTTCATTAATCATCATATTTAACGAATATTTAATTAAGAGAAGTTTTTCTCACTAAAAAATCAAGTGCTGGAAAAGATGTAAATTAACAACCAGTTTGCATACTATTGTTTTTATGACACAATAGACTTTTTTGGTTTCATAAAATTTTTTTAGCAAGCTTTTCCGTTTTTTTTTAAGAAGGCTGTGTATAACTTATCGCGCAGTACAATGAGAGCTGAAAAAGTCTGTCAATTTATTTATTTCATATTTGCTTATTTTTTTTATATTTAAATTTGTCCAAAATTTTCAAAAATTTTTTTCTTAATGGATTTGTCTTTAGATAGTGGAATGGGCCCCAAAGCTGTTTTAAAAAAGACAAATCTAAGGTCTGTTATACTGTCTATTTTAGTGTACTGTTCGCTTTTGTTACTGTCCAAGAGTAGCAGCAAAGATGTTTCTTGGATTCCTGGCACTACTATTGCGCTGGATTTGATTTTATTCTAATATCCATACGGTAAGACAAAAAAGCGAAACATTTGTAGGCACTAGACTGTCAAAACTATATTCGTGTTTTGGTAATGCAGAAAGATGGTACAATGTTAGTGTGCGGAACCGATGCTTATTCTCCAAAATACGCTTTATATTCACATGAAGGCATTGTACTGCAAAGAACGAGTCAGTTTGATGGACAAGTGCGGAATGTTTTTCCTTTATACGCAGTGTTCATCAAAATTTTTTTGGCTAATTTCCCTCTTTCAATGCGGTTTTCATAGTGTTCTCTCATCAAATTACATAACCTTTTGCACAGGGCATAGGTGGTAGAAATATTCTAAGTAATTTCACCATCTGATCTACAGCACAACTCTACCGCAATCTGCGTTCCAGAAACCGAGATAATATGTTAAGACAGTGTCTGATTTTGCCGACAATGATCCACTGATTTATTAATAACAGGAAATCAGCATACTGAAAAAACTGTAAACACTGAGGAATACTACTAACTCATCAGACTGCGGTGTTCTTTTACCGTACTGTTAAAAATCCTAAACTTAGCCTTGCCAAAATGCCTCCCCACTCCTGCATTGAACCTTCTCTTCCAACCAAAACAAACCAATTCCTGCCAGTCAGCACCAAAGATTTGGTGTATTTTAGTCATCGGCTTTTAACCGAAAAGTAAAGCAAGCACTTACCCCTACTTTTGCGGATATGTACATACTCATTCCCCGCCCTCAAGCCCGAAAGACGACTTATGCACCAGAAACTTACACGTCTACACTGTCCCATTGTTTTTTAATCTGTGTAGCATACAAGGAACATCAACTGTTTAAACAATAATGACTCGACTAACTCTCTAGGACCCAAATATAAAAAAAAAAGGAAACAATGTAGACAAAACTGTTACACCCAGAAAATGAATTTACCACTCTGCTACGGCTTCGAAACTACGACAGACTAAATAAAACAGAGAATTTCCCGAATTTTTACAAAAAAAGTATGATGCTTATTTACAAAAACAATAAAATTTACAAAGCAGAAATAACTGTTTGAGATCCCGCAATTAACACCGTTTACTGTCAAGAGAGGTCATGCAAAAACGAAAGTATATAGCAACATAAACAAAGATTTGAATTGTTTGACGAGATCCACAATCACGAAGAGATATCTTAAACGGTTGAGCGCGAGCTTTATAAAAACGGCTAGTTCTTCCTCTCGCCACCATATTTTTAAATTTTTTTATTTCTCGAGCAAGTGTCAGCTGTGTATTACAGCAGCAAACAATGAGAATTTGCGGAGGTACACACGCAACTGTTCCTTTGACAAAATCTGCAAGATAAAAATAACGCAGTAATCTTCTGTTGCATGGAATAGCAACAACTAAATCTCAATTCTTGCCCAATTTCTGACCGGAAACTCATCGTTCAAGCAATTAATAAACCGTTGAAGTTGCATTTTCAACTAAAGAGTAGGTAAGTGAACGAGAAAAATAAAAACGAAATACTTACGTCATAGACATTAAACTCCTCGTTCGCAATAGCTTCTAAAACGTCTAACGCTTTTAACTTTTCATCCGACTGTTCGCAAATTGTCTGTAGTAAGGTTATGGCAGTACCAATAAATCGTTCTCTGATGCTTCGCAATTCGTTGTTACGTTCTTCCTTAAAACCTAATTTCTATATTGAACGACAAATTAGTTAGGGACTAGGTTCCAACCGTTAACGTAAAACCAACCTGGCTGTTATCTTTCTGACTGTCCAAAAAGCAATTTAGCCAGCCTCCCGGTTGCCGCAATATATTTAGCAATGATGCGTAAGCAGACTGAAAAGTAACCTTAAAATAGCCTCACTACTGCCACTAATTAAACCCAATATTGTCCCGCAGACTGTTCATTGACAATCTAAGTGGAAAGGCTTATATAAGGAAAGGTAATTGTAGAATAGATGCTTTACTTCAAAAAGGAATTTAGTTGCCGCTTCATGGCGATACTTAGCTTCACTAAGCTGTTTATGTTGTAACTCAAAAGAAGCCTTTTCTTGTATCTCCATTCGTGACCAAGTTTCATCTGTTGGTTTCTCGGGAATAACCGGCTTCTCACGAGCAAATTGTTTGAACCAGTTATCAAAGTAATTCATTGCTTCCTAAAGTGGAGAATTTACATATATTTAACGTGGTAATCATATTAAATTTAAAATAATCGTGAGTTCCAGCAATCCTCTAAAATCACTAAACTTCCCACCAAGTAAAGAATATACGCAGTATACTCCTTGATTTGCACTTCCAGAGAATGTGGTACCGGCTGATTAGGAAAATTCTCTGACCAGAGATTTCCAACAATAACAGCAATATTTTCGCTTGATTGTTTTAACAGTAGCTTTGCCTCCTTTAGCTTATTCAAATCTGAAGAAATTTCAAACCGTTTCACGAATTACTGAAGAAACTAAATCACACGATTGCTGCACATTAAAATCCATAAATAAGGAAGATGATGCCGAACTGCAACTAATTTTAGATAGGGTTAGAAACAGTGCATGTAGCAGATGACTGACAGAAAAATCTCCGGAGAAGCAAATTTGCTCCAATCAGCGCATCGACAATTAACTCCTTGCCCGAAAAGGTTAACCAAGTCCAACTATTTACCAGTCTGTCATCAGATTTGGAACTCTAAGGAATAAAACAAATTTTAGGCAGATAATGAAAAAACGACCTGTGGAGCAGGAGAGAGGTACCTAATAGCAAACAAAGAGATACTTACTTCGTTTGTAACAGGATTCACTTTTACTGCATGGGCAAATATCTTTTTGCACAGTAAAGACGTGTCACATCCAGCTTTATGGGCTGCAGCAAGAACTTCAAGCCTCGATTCTTCCTCTTCCAGTGCTAAACACGAAATAAATTCAGAAAGAAATAGATCATTACGGCGGCAAAAAAAGTGAAGCCTAAAAACTTACAGTACATAAAAGTGACTAAAAGATGGTCCCTCCGTTCAGGCAGAAGACGAGAAGCATAAAATGGCACAAGAGTGTAAAGCTTCATAGAAATCAACAATTCGATATAACGTTCCATTATCCAGTAACCACTTTCCATCTTAACATTAGTAAAAAAAATCTCTATGAGATATACTTATGAGGCTGTCTTAAAAAACATGAATTATGAGCTAACGTTGAATTCCGCATTTTCGTGAAGATACATCAGGAGAACATGGACCATAAATCGCAAAATATGTGGATAGTTACTATCTGGATGTTCCTCCAACCAAGATTTCATGAAATCTACATGCGCAGAAGAATCACCAATTAGGAGGAAACGATAAGACGAATAATAAGGTGAGCGTTCTTTCTGAAAGTTTTGGAGTAAGTACCAAGAAAGAGCAAAACAAAAAGCAGAGTTTCGCTAAAGACTGATTACTTATGACAAAAAACCAACTTAACGGTCAGCAATTTTGAGAAAGTAAGAAAACGAACCGTGATAATTTCGTCAAATATGGAGTCAACCATGAGATCGTTACCACTTAATAAATTCCCTGATTCTTTTTCCAAACCGCGTTCTTCAGCCAGACGTGCATCAATGCGGCATTCGACAGCTGCGTTTGCATAACACCACAATCGTTCGTCAGTACGAGAGGAAAGTGAAAGAGCTGGCTCAAGTCTTCCGGCAACAATACACCATATACAACTCTCTAAATGAGAAAGTGAGTCGCCCTGAAACAAGTAATCTTTAATAAAGGGCAGGAAAAATACAAAAAGCAAATAAACACAATTTAAATGATAATTTCCTAAACCAATTCAAAATTAAGGTTAAAATCGTCAATCATCAGCTCCGCAACAAAAATATTCAAAAAAGCTCCCACAAGAATGGAAGAAATACCGCAAAGAGAATTTCGTCCACTGTTTTTTTAAAAATGGCACGTGATTCTGCCAAACCAAAAAATTGATCCTCCTTTGATTTTGAAGTTAAAGCTGAATCTCTAGACAGTCGTCGAAGCTTTAATGACGGCACTAAAGCTGGTAAACCACTCTTTTCCAAAACTTCACACGCCTAAAAAATTAATGTGATTAGAAACTATGCAAGTAAAGCTTAAAGCAGCAAACGCTGAGAAATGCTGTAGATCAAGTTAATACTAAAACTAAATCATTAAAAAAAAAAATATGTGGACTTCATTTATCCTGCCGCTTTTGAGGAGCATGTACACAACTCTGTAAACTTTATTTTGCAAATCTTCATCGTCTCCATGTAATCTACCATGTTTTGCGCCATCCAGATCCTAAATATGTTACAACAAAAAGCTCTCAATAGAAGCTTGACATTTATTTTTTTACTGTATTTCGAATGTTTAAGTGTATATTACACATATTTTGAAGAACTTGCCAAATCGCAAAGCCTTTTCCCTTGTTTCCGACTGTGCAGAGTCTCAACCCTAAAAATTTTTTTTTGTAAAATGAAGCTCAAGAACAGTATTTGTTTCACAGTTAACCGACATTCAGTTTTTGAAGTAAATACGCTAGGAGAGAAGATTGTAAATTGGAACACAGAAGCTTCTGCTTAAAATTACTGCTCTTTACCATTGTTGACTGCTTTACCTCTTTGAAAACTGTAATTCATCAGTTAACATAAAATATAAATTAAAAATTATAAGAAAAGAAATTTACCTTACATCAGGAGCGCTTCCCAATGCTACAATTTCATTGTCCAAGTCTTTGATCGATTTAGGGTCATTACGCTCATTTTCTTCACACCATTCTAACAACACCTAGAAAAAGAAGCTAGATAAACGTAAAAGAATTTGTTCACTATAATTCAAAGCCGTGAAAACCACATAGCCTCACAATCCTCTTAAAATCTGGGGACTCGAATTCAGAATATACCAAGAAATTAAACCCACCAACAAACGGCGGAACTCTTCATCACTTGCAATAAGTTCGTCAAGCACTGTGTCCGTATCTTCCACCTATTGAGTTCACTGATTAGAAATCCATATATCAGCATATATGAGCTTAATTCGAGGATTTTATACAGGCCAAGTCTACTAATCGTAAAACTAAGTAAATGAAGGAAAGCCACTTCAAAACCCAATTCAGTAACGTCAATTCTGACTGATAAATGCTTTAAATTTTTATCGTACTTTTACTGAAAATCTCCATAAAGTGTTCTACTAAAGCCGTTTTTCTTTCAAACTGACAGGGAAATTGCAACAGGTAAGAAAAAAAAATTTTTTCCTTTTTATTCTCCGAAAGACACTCATTTTCATGAGATATCTAAAAAGCATAAAAGAAGAAAATTAAGATGCAGCCCACCACCAATAAGGGCGCTACACGCAACCATCAATTATGAAAGTCCTTTGTGAAACTTCTTTGTGCCTATTTTTAAAATGTTTTGAAGAAATTTTAACCTGAAGGTTTTGTGCCGTATCTTCCAGCTGTCGGAGCTTTTTAAGCAAAGTGTACGCTCGATGCTCGCTGACAAGATGGCAGAGGTTTAAAGATAGCAATGCATTCTTTGAAGAGCGTAAAAGTAACTTCCTTAACGTTGTAATGCCAAAATAACACTGCTAAAAGAAGTAAAAATTAATTGCTTTATTATTAAGCTAATAATAAGAAACGAAAAAAGTGACATAAATTTATACGGTTACCTCTTCAAATGCAGAAATTATTGAAGAAAAGTCTTCTGCAGGTTCGACGGCAGTGTTGAAAAAGTCTTCAAACAGTGCTTTAGTTACTGAAAAAAGAAAAAATATGCATTTTTCAAAAGTTGCAATAAACTGCAAAAAATTATTATTATTGTAAAGCGGTACTTCCGTAGCACTTTGAAGGGGTCAAAGCCAGTAACCGACCTTGAAAAACGATTCGTTCTTCATCACCAAAATCTGTTTGCGCTGCATTAATTTCTTTTATTTCATCTGTCATTCTTCAGTTTGAGCAAAAAGTCGCATTTACACCAACTCTTTCGACTATATTTTTTCTTCAAAAACCTCAAAAGTATGCAAATTACGCATCCTGAATCGGGAACAGAAAAATAGAATTTTAAAGCCACAGCCTAGATGAAACGCCATCCTTCGGTTAGCTTCGCTTTTTTTGGAACTGATGTGTACATATAAGAACCACAAATTGTAACGAACTCCACCAAAAATCGGTACAAAAAAGTAAAAAAAATTAATAATGTGAGCAAGAAATAATTGTTACAAACCGAAGCAGCAGGAATTGCACCAGTAATCACTTTGACTTATTATCTACCAAAAGAGTAAGTTTATAAAACTGTTTAGTCGAGCAAAATTCGGCACATAAATTTGGCGCTATTTTCAGTGTGCGAATTTTTTCTGAGGCTTTACGAATTAGTTCACGTTTGAAATTCCGACCGGCAGTATTCAGAGAAAGTGCATATTAGTTGGTACAGACGATGATATATGTATAATGTCTCATTTGGTACACGAATCAGGCTTTATTGTCAGTAACATAGAGAGGAAGGACTGAAAGTTGATGGTTGTCTTAAGCCACAGGCAATTTTCAGTTTTTATTTTCTTCACACTTTTGACAGTTTGCAGACAGTTATACCTGTGTGGTCGCTAAGAACTGTCTTTTAAAGTGGCCGAACAGGTACTTTGCAGCTAATTTTCTAATTCCTTTTCATCCTGTTTTTGAACCGCCTGTTTTTACTAGGTGGTCAAACGTCTATGCGCCATTTTCCTTTCCTATTTGAGGCGCCTCAAGCCACCTCTTAAATCATTGTTGTTGTATTCTTCTTTATTGTCAAACGGGATTTCTCCGCATTGTGGTAACCTGCTTACAGTGGATATTATCATTTCAAGGGAATTGGCTTCTTACATTTCTTGAGATTAGAAATTTTGCTACAAAGCCATCCTTCGGATGTGGTTTGAAAGATTTGCCTAAGACGATTAGAAATGAAATGGTGTAGTTGACTGTTGAAATAGTTTAGTCACTTATGTATTAAAGTATTTTGACCAATTTTCATTTAAACGAAGTGTAATTTTTTTGTTATTCTCAATGTGCTTTGGTAGCATTTGTATCTGGTTACTGGACTTATGAAAGTTTTACTAAATAATGGTTTTTTGTATTGAATACAGGGACTAAAGTTTTTTAATCTTTAGCCCTTTCTAGTAATAAAACCCTACATAAATTAAAATGAAAGATAGGAACTGTCTGCCTCATTAAATTTCTTTTAGTAGAGCAAAAATTTATTCACACATGAGCACAGCAGAAAAACAAGTAGAGCACCAAAAATACATCTGGTAGAAAAAGAAAATGATTTTATATTAGATACTACAGTATCAATTACTGAAATAAATATACGCTTTTTTGCAGAGCAACCGCGAGAAACCTGTAGCGGACAATGACAAAATAACATTTTCACCACTTAAATTTTCAAAAATTCTCGTAAAGTTTCGATATTTCTTCTTTCAGTTAACCCGGTTTCTCTTTGATGGGACGACTGTAAGTGATCGGCAATGAGTTCAGAGGCATCACCTCGAACTTCTTTCATACCTGTCAGACACTGCTGTCATCTGTTGCCGTTAATTTCCGGCGTTTTCAGGAGGAACTGGACTTTCGAATTGCCTGCAGGTTAGCAACAGAAACAAGCAAGAGTAAGTGTTAAATTCTTGAGCTTCCTAGAACGTATCACTAGTGTAATCAGTTTTTTATACCATGTTCCAAAGAATTCAGTGTTTATAGGTGCGATCGGACGTCGAAAACAAGAAGAATCTGATCACGAATTAGCAGTAAAGCTTTCTCGGCAATGGAATGAGGAAAATTGTATGTAATTTCCTGAGACTAGAAATTTATTTTAGTTCTCCTTTTCTTTCGCAGTATTAATGGCAAGAATTATTTGACCGGGGTAGTAAAGCTATCATTTTCAGTCAAAAATTAGAAGAACCTTTTATATTGAGAAGTGTCTCTGTCTCTGAGGATCTACTGTTTCACCTGTAGTACAGTTAACGCTATGAAGTAGGTAAAATTTTTTGAGCTACCTTTAGCTGTTCTGAGGTAGCTGGTGAGAAATATGAAGATGGAAGCAGGGAAAATTCTTCACAAGCGAATGATTGTTGTATATGCTTCGAAAGGGCGGTAGATCCCGTTAAATGCTTTGCCTGCGGTCAGTTGGTAGGCTGTTTTAAATGTGTGGAAGACTGGTGCTGCGTTTTTTGGCCGAGTTAAAAAAAAGGTAGGCTGCTCATAGATAAAAGTTTTCACATTGCATTTTAGCATATTTAATGCAGAGCTTTTAATTCTTCTAAGTTTCTTTAGTATACTTTTAAGTAATTGTGGACAGTGCCCACTGTGCAGAGCATTTTGGTCATCAAAAGGTGGCATTTTCGCATGGGGGGTGATCAGTAACCGACATTGATTGAGGTCATATCAGCTTTTTAAACCACCGTCTTAACTGATGTCTTACTAAGGGTTGTTGCTCTATGTGGTTGTAGCCTTTTCTTTGATGATCAGTTTTTTTCACCGAAAAACGGGTTAAAATGCCGTGAAATGGATTTACTGGGATCTTGTAAAATTTTCTGCTGAAGGTTTCTTAATCTCACGGTTGGGGCAGGGTAAAACGTATGATTGCGATTACAGAGGACTAATTACTCTTTGTTTTCTTAGAGAATAATTTAAGTTTTTGATAGCTCTTTATCAGTAACAGGTCAGCCTCAGTTCCGCAGCGGAGTAATGTTTCCCTGTCCTGTTAAGCGGCACGTGATTGTGTGCATTTGTCTTCTTAACTTTTAATATCGTTTGTATTTACTTTTGTCTTTCTGTGCCCTTAGTTAACTTGTGAACATTAATGAGTGGCAAGGTTACATTTTGAAATAAAATTTTAGTTTGCTGCATAAGGTTTAGACCAACAGCTACATCTGAATGGTCTGACTTCACATTTAAAGTCGATCATCGGGAAGGTTATGACGAGTACGTTGAATTCTTTTTCCATCAAAGTTTACTACTTATTATCAATGAAAGTCTTGAGACATCTATCATACATCCTGAAATAAAAATGTCGTGTTCTCTAGCTTGAGTTCCTGCCCGTGAAGTGTTTGTAACTTGTCTGTAGAGAGCTTCGTTGGTAACATCTAGATTTATAAATCTATTCTAGAAAAAATGTGTTTTGTTAAAGTCGACCACAGAGCGCGTGTGAGTGAATTATTTTGATGATTGTAGTTTTATTTACGATAACTGATTCACGTTTTCTGCAAACATCATGAGTGACCTAATTTGTTCAGTACCAAAATATTCGTTCTGTCAACTGCTAAAGAGAAGCGAATCTAAAATTGCTTTTATTTTTTGGAATTCTCTTCAAAAAATAAAACATTTAGTTGTGAAAATTTAATGTTAATTCAATTGTATACAATACTCCTGAAAAGTGCCAAAGCCAGCTCCGATTTTCCTTTTGCATTGTCTCGTGCAGTAATCTTTAAAACATCTTTCATATTTCTGGTACAATTTTTAAAAAACTATTTTTATTCTCTTTTTTAGTATGCTCTTCATAGGGCTACTATGTAAACAAATTTTTGTGTCGCTGGTTTATGACTAGCCTTTATAACAGTCGCTTTAAATTTTTCCCTTATTGGCTACAGTTTTCAGCTGAGAAGCAGGTAGTATAGTGTATTACTCATTCGCTCCTACCACTAAATCGTTTTGTAAAAACCTCGCCTTCCAAGTGTAGCACACCGATGTTAAATTTTTGTTAATGTTAAATTATTTTTACATTTTTCACCTTCCTAATTAGATGAGGCTTCTTTTCTACAGTCTGTTTCGTTCGCTTTATACAGAGATTACGCTCTGTCGTTGAGTCGCACGGCTTTGTTCCTATGGGTGTGCCTCACCTGCTGAGCGCAGTGTTTAAGGTTAGGCTTCCTATTTATTGCCTGATTTTTGGTGAATTTTTTTAGCATGTAGATAATATTTCTTTAAGTTCTGTTAAGTGAGGCATGATAAATTTGTGCGCTTGGTTTAAGGAAATTTTTCAAAAAGCACGCAATTTTGAGGTTAAAAAGTGATTTAAGGGGTTGAAAAGTTAGAAGTAATTCAAAATGAAATAGAAAAATTGTGAGAAGTTATTCATTTTGAAGGAAGAAAGAATTGCAATCAGTACTCTCTGCATGACTTCTAGGAAAGTTTTAACAACTTGAGCATTATTTCATGCTGTGCGTTCTGAATCAGAAACCTACTCTGAAAGCTGTTGTAATCCAGCAGTCGGTGGGTGGAAGTAACTTGTTTCACTTTCAGAGACTCTTCAATAATCTTTGCTATAAAATCGGCTATTTTGATTTCAGAATTGTAGTTAAGTTTTACAAGTTTTCAGTACAGTATGTTGTATTCTAAAAGCGCTTGAGCTAAACGTATTAAAAGTGATTGGTAGTTTTCTCCGTACTAAGATCAGCCATCATTGCCAAAAAAATTCGTATCGGTGGGGAGTGTTTCGTCGGTACATTAGTTCCTGAAAAAAACTAGAAAACACTGCTGTTCTTCACGGCGTTATGGAATAAAGTTTACGCGTATGGGAACCTCTTGTAAACTGCTTTAAAAAACTGCTTAGGTCTAAATGCAGGTTTACCCAAAAAGAAAATCAATTTTTTTATTGAGAAGACAGCTACATAAGAAAAGAAAAACAATGAGCAATAAATGAAAAGAAAAACAGAAAGAAAATCGCAGGTCATAAGCTGAAAATTAGGAAGAGCGGTAAATTCACAAACTCTTGTTTTCAGGGAACTCATAAATTGGAAAGAAAATTTTAAGTAGTTTGTCAAAAAAGTTTATCACGTAGCATTAAACCTCTTGTAAAACCAATTCTCTGGAAATAGAAGCTTTTTTTTTTTTTTGAATCAAAAATTTTACAAATATGCTTTTGCTGAAGTTAGTGTTTTTTTTTTTCTTGAAGATCAATAAAAGTTGGACTTTATATT